CACACCAAGCCGGTAAACACTTACCTCTTCCAATGGCAACGGCGGCCTACCATGTTGCCTGCAGCCCAGACAGCACCGGAGTACTAAACCCCCATAGAAAGGGACAGTAGGGGTATGTCCTACTATATTCTATGAGGCCATTAGCACACGGGGCCAGCCGGACACTAGATTTTTACTGGTCTTACTGGCTTGCAGACAGCACGGGAGGTAGCCGCTGTTGGAGTAGAGTAGGTGGGGTGATAGATGAGATTAGTGTATTTTGGAGGGGTATTTTTACAGAAATCGTGAACTTGTCCTTTAATTTATTATATATAACCCATCAGGTTTTTATTGCCGTCTGTGTCCCAGTTATGTAGATTCACACTCTCTACTTGTCCGTTATCAGTGAAAGTAAAAGAAAATTCCAAATTTTGGGTCGTCATCAGAAAAGGAATAGATGGGAAAATTCCAATTGGGAAACTAATTCTGGTGACTACCAGGGATTTCCTGCTCTTAAGAGGGATTTCCTTTCACTTCCTGTTGTGGCTATTAGACAGGAATTGATAGGAAATCTCCCCAATGGGACACGGATGGCAAAAAAAAAAAAAGCTGACAAGGGTTATAGCCCTCCCTATCCAAAAGAAAAATAAAATTGATTTTAGTTCCAGCAGATCTAAAGGTGATTGTGCAATCCGATTGTAAAGGGCAAGGGTAAGCAAACGCCGGACCTCCAGCTGTGGCGAGGGCTGGCGTTTGCCTACCCCAGGTACAGGGCACGGTCAACCTTAGTTATCTCTTATGTAGTATGAATGCATCTGGCTCAATGTATCTTTCTCATAATGGAGGTTCTTCACATGCTCTACTATCTTGCTCCTATCAGGGTTATGCTTTGCTATTGACTGTTGATCAATCTGGCCAGGGGCATAACTACAGATCATGGGGCCACATAGCAAAATTTTGATTGGTCGAATCCTTATAATCTAAATTAAAGGAGAACTATGGGGTAAATGTTTTTCCCCATAGTTCTCCTCAGGGTCACGGGAGGACATAAAGCTCAGTATATAGCGAGCTACAGCTCCCGGTATACTGAGACCGCCGCACCTGGGACGGATCCTGACATTACTGAGATCCACCCAGCTGCGTGATTGACAGCTGGCTCTGCCTATCTAGAGACAGAGCCAGCTGTACCCGCCCCCTCCCCTGTCCGTTCCGCCAGTCAGAGCTGGAGGATCGAAGCGGGGAGGGGGGAATCCTTGCGTGGAGCCGTGTGTGACAGTCACCGCTCTCTGCAGGGACAGGATGGAGAAGTGAGCGAGAGACGGTATGTGTTTGCTCACTTCCCGATCTATTGAGCCGACATGTGACAGTTTCATTGTCGCACGTCGGCTCGAACTATGAGGCTGAGTGAAAATCACTCACCTCATAGTTCTCCTTTAACCACCTCCGGGCCGGCCGTAGTAAAAAAACGGCCGGCCCGAGCTCTCTAGATCTGAGCGGGCGTCTTTAGACGTCCGCTCAGGTCTTGAAGTGGTTAAGGACAGGAAGCAGGAGACCTGGCTGTAAAGTCTTTTCCTGTACATCTGATATCAACTCTTCTTGACTGGAAATGCCATAAGGGATACAGGGTCAACAGCAACTTCAGCAATCCTTCATGGGGCCCCCGTCCACCCCCGGGCCCCATAGCAGCCGCATGGTCTGCAATGGCTATTGTTATGCCCCTGAATCCGGCCATTCTGACCCGCGGCCAAACAGCACCATAATACAGCAACAATTACCGAGTCTACTTCCATATACATACCACTGTGTTACCTTCCAGTGCAGCCATCTTCAGTGGGGTCAGTCCATTATCATTATTTATCTCTTCTAAGCCTGGCCCAAATTTCTCCTTATGATATCCCAGGATGAGGTCATAGATCTGACAGGCAGACATTTTGTTTGGTTGTAAGGCCAGAATGTGGAGGACGGTGTTTCCTGCAAGAGGGAAAGAATAATTGATTGATTTTTTAGTTTCGTGCATGCTTCTGGCTTTACTGTTGTTCAGCTTCTTCTTGCTTGGTATGTAATTAGGAAGAAAAAATAAATAAATAATTCACTGTATTTTACATGTATACGGATATCAGAGGTGTGTTACAAAATACGAGACACTAGGCAAAGGAGGAGGACTGGTTCTGGTTCTTGGGGAATGAGAGGAATGCATTGAGATGTGTCCATATTGTAGGGTGAGCATGTGGGGAGTGTAAAAAAAACAGGGTGACTCCCTGAATTGTAGGCTTTATAAAATGAGTTGACATGGCTGTTGCATATAGTATACAGTAAATAGTCAAGTGTGTTTCACACCACCCGGAAAAAGTTCATGGTTGGGTGGATGAAACGTGTTGGTGGGTTATAGATTCACTCTGCACATTTTCAGCATTACTGGAGGTTATGATGTGAAACTTTTACCAGGAGATGTTTGCGGCAGCAAATTCCACACATCTATCCAGGTCTTATGGCCCTTACGTAACCAGGTCTGATGGCCCTTACGTAACCAGGCCTGATGGTCCTTACCTATCCAGGTCTGATGGTCCTTACGTAACTAGGTCTGATGGTCCTTACGTAACTAGGTCTGATGGTCCTTACGTAACCAGGTCTGATGGTCCTTACGTAACCAGGTCTGATGGTCCTTACCTGTCCAGGTCTTATGGTCCTTACCTATCCAGGTCTTATGGTCCTTACCTATCCAGGTCTTATGGTCCTTACCTATCCAGGTCTTATGGTCCTTACCTATCCAGGTCTTATGGTCCTTACCTATCCAGGTCTTATGGTCCTTACCTATCCAGGTCTTATGGTCCTTACCTATCCAGGTCTTATGGTCCTTACCTATCCAGGTCTTATGGTCCTTACCTATCCAGGTCTTATGGTCCTTACCTATCCAGGTCTTATGGTCCTTACCTATCCAGGTCTTATGGTCCTTACCTATCCAGGTCTTATGGTCCTTACCTATCCAGGTCTTATGGTCCTTACCTATCCAGGTCTTATGGTCCTTACCTATCCAGGTCTTATGGTCCTTACCTATCCAGGTCTTATGGTCCTTACCTATCCAGGTCTTATGGTCCTTACCTATCCAGGTCTTATGGTCCTTACCTATCCAGGTCTTATGGTCCTTACCTATCCAGGTCTTATGGTCCTTACCTATCCAGGTCTTATGGTCCTTACCTATCCAGGTCTTATGGTCCTTACCTATCCAGGTCTTATGGTCCTTACCTATCCAGGTCTTATGGTCCTTACCTATCCAGGTCTTATGGTCCTTACCTATCCAGGTCTTATGGTCCTTACCTATCCAGGTCTTATGGTCCTTACCTATCCAGGTCTTATGGTCCTTACCTATCCAGGTCTTATGGTCCTTACCTATCCAGGTCTTATGGTCCTTACCTATCCAGGTCTTATGGTCCTTACCTATCCAGGTCTTATGGTCCTTACCTATCCAGGTCTTATGGTCCTTACCTATCCAGGTCTTATGGTCCTTACCTATCCAGGTCTTATGGTCCTTACCTATCCAGGTCTTATGGTCCTTACCTATCCAGGTCTTATGGTCCTTACCTATCCAGGTCTTATGGTCCTTACCTATCCAGGTCTTATGGTCCTTACCTATCCAGGTCTTATGGTCCTTACCTATCCAGGTCTTATGGTCCTTACCTATCCAGGTCTTATGGTCCTTACCTATCCAGGTCTTATGGTCCTTACCTATCCAGGTCTTATGGTCCTTACCTATCCAGGTCTTATGGTCCTTACCTATCCAGGTCTTATGGTCCTTACCTATCCAGGTCTTATGGTCCTTACCTATCCAGGTCTTATGGTCCTTACCTATCCAGGTCTTATGGTCCTTACCTATCCAGGTCTTATGGTCCTTACCTATCCAGGTCTTATGGTCCTTACCTATCCAGGTCTTATGGTCCTTACCTATCCAGGTCTTATGGTCCTTACCTATCCAGGTCTTATGGTCCTTACCTATCCAGGTCTTATGGTCCTTACCTATCCAGGTCTTATGGTCCTTACCTATCCAGGTCTTATGGTCCTTACCTATCCAGGTCTTATGGTCCTTACCTATCCAGGTCTTATGGTCCTTACCTATCCAGGTCTTATGGTCCTTACCTATCCAGGTCTTATGGTCCTTACCTATCCAGGTCTTATGGTCCTTACCTATCCAGGTCTTATGGTCCTTACCTATCCAGGTCTTATGGTCCTTACCTATCCAGGTCTTATGGTCCTTACCTATCCAGGTCTTATGGTCCTTACCTATCCAGGTCTTATGGTCCTTACCTATCCAGGTCTTATGGTCCTTACCTATCCAGGTCTTATGGTCCTTACCTATCCAGGTCTTATGGTCCTTACCTATCCAGGTCTTATGGTCCTTACCTATCCAGGTCTTATGGTCCTTACCTATCCAGGTCTTATGGTCCTTACCTATCCAGGTCTTATGGTCCTTACCTATCCAGGTCTTATGGTCCTTACCTATCCAGGTCTTATGGTCCTTACCTATCCAGGTCTTATGGTCCTTACCTATCCAGGTCTTATGGTCCTTACCTATCCAGGTCTTATGGTCCTTACCTATCCAGGTCTTATGGTCCTTACCTATCCAGGTCTTATGGTCCTTACCTATCCAGGTCTTATGGTCCTTACCTATCCAGGTCTTATGGTCCTTACCTATCCAGGTCTTATGGTCCTTACCTATCCAGGTCTTATGGTCCTTACCTATCCAGGTCTTATGGTCCTTACCTATCCAGGTCTTATGGTCCTTACCTATCCAGGTCTTATGGTCCTTACCTATCCAGGTCTTATGGTCCTTACCTATCCAGGTCTTATGGTCCTTACCTATCCAGGTCTTATGGTCCTTACCTATCCAGGTCTTATGGTCCTTACCTATCCAGGTCTTATGGTCCTTACCTATCCAGGTCTTATGGTCCTTACCTATCCAGGTCTTATGGTCCTTACCTATCCAGGTCTTATGGTCCTTACCTATCCAGGTCTTATGGTCCTTACCTATCCAGGTCTTATGGTCCTTACCTATCCAGGTCTTATGGTCCTTACCTATCCAGGTCTTATGGTCCTTACCTATCCAGGTCTTATGGTCCTTACCTATCCAGGTCTTATGGTCCTTACCTATCCAGGTCTTATGGTCCTTACCTATCCAGGTCTTATGGTCCTTACCTATCCAGGTCTTATGGTCCTTACCTATCCAGGTCTTATGGTCCTTACCTATCCAGGTCTTATGGTCCTTACCTATCCAGGTCTTATGGTCCTTACCTATCCAGGTCTTATGGTCCTTACCTATCCAGGTCTTATGGTCCTTACCTATCCAGGTCTTATGGTCCTTACCTATCCAGGTCTTATGGTCCTTACCTATCCAGGTCTTATGGTCCTTACCTATCCAGGTCTTATGGTCCTTACCTATCCAGGTCTTATGGTCCTTACCTATCCAGGTCTTATGGTCCTTACCTATCCAGGTCTTATGGTCCTTACCTATCCAGGTCTTATGGTCCTTACCTATCCAGGTCTTATGGTCCTTACCTATCCAGGTCTTATGGTCCTTACCTATCCAGGTCTTATGGTCCTTACCTATCCAGGTCTTATGGTCCTTACCTATCCAGGTCTTATGGTCCTTACCTATCCAGGTCTTATGGTCCTTACCTATCCAGGTCTTATGGTCCTTACCTATCCAGGTCTTATGGTCCTTACCTATCCAGGTCTTATGGTCCTTACCTATCCAGGTCTTATGGTCCTTACCTATCCAGGTCTTATGGTCCTTACCTATCCAGGTCTTATGGTCCTTACCTATCCAGGTCTTATGGTCCTTACCTATCCAGGTCTTATGGTCCTTACCTATCCAGGTCTTATGGTCCTTACCTATCCAGGTCTTATGGTCCTTACCTATCCAGGTCTTATGGTCCTTACCTATCCAGGTCTTATGGTCCTTACCTATCCAGGTCTTATGGTCCTTACCTATCCAGGTCTTATGGTCCTTACCTATCCAGGTCTTATGGTCCTTACCTATCCAGGTCTTATGGTCCTTACCTATCCAGGTCTTATGGTCCTTACCTATCCAGGTCTTATGGTCCTTACCTATCCAGGTCTTATGGTCCTTACCTATCCAGGTCTTATGGTCCTTACCTATCCAGGTCTTATGGTCCTTACCTATCCAGGTCTTATGGTCCTTACCTATCCAGGTCTTATGGTCCTTACCTATCCAGGTCTTATGGTCCTTACCTATCCAGGTCTTATGGTCCTTACCTATCCAGGTCTTATGGTCCTTACCTATCCAGGTCTTATGGTCCTTACCTATCCAGGTCTTATGGTCCTTACCTATCCAGGTCTTATGGTCCTTACCTATCCAGGTCTTATGGTCCTTACCTATCCAGGTCTTATGGTCCTTACCTATCCAGGTCTTATGGTCCTTACCTATCCAGGTCTTATGGTCCTTACCTATCCAGGTCTTATGGTCCTTACCTATCCAGGTCTTATGGTCCTTACCTATCCAGGTCTTATGGTCCTTACCTATCCAGGTCTTATGGTCCTTACCTATCCAGGTCTTATGGTCCTTACCTATCCAGGTCTTATGGTCCTTACCTATCCAGGTCTTATGGTCCTTACCTATCCAGGTCTTATGGTCCTTACCTATCCAGGTCTTATGGTCCTTACCTATCCAGGTCTTATGGTCCTTACCTATCCAGGTCTTATGGTCCTTACCTATCCAGGTCTTATGGTCCTTACCTATCCAGGTCTTATGGTCCTTACCTATCCAGGTCTTATGGTCCTTACCTATCCAGGTCTTATGGTCCTTACCTATCCAGGTCTTATGGTCCTTACCTATCCAGGTCTTATGGTCCTTACCTATCCAGGTCTTATGGTCCTTACCTATCCAGGTCTTATGGTCCTTACCTATCCAGGTCTTATGGTCCTTACCTATCCAGGTCTTATGGTCCTTACCTATCCAGGTCTTATGGTCCTTACCTATCCAGGTCTTATGGTCCTTACCTATCCAGGTCTTATGGTCCTTACCTATCCAGGTCTTATGGTCCTTACCTATCCAGGTCTTATGGTCCTTACCTATCCAGGTCTTATGGTCCTTACCTATCCAGGTCTTATGGTCCTTACCTATCCAGGTCTTATGGTCCTTACCTATCCAGGTCTTATGGTCCTTACCTATCCAGGTCTTATGGTCCTTACCTATCCAGGTCTTATGGTCCTTACCTATCCAGGTCTTATGGTCCTTACCTATCCAGGTCTTATGGTCCTTACCTATCCAGGTCTTATGGTCCTTACCTATCCAGGTCTTATGGTCCTTACCTATCCAGGTCTTATGGTCCTTACCTATCCAGGTCTTATGGTCCTTACCTATCCAGGTCTTATGGTCCTTACCTATCCAGGTCTTATGGTCCTTACCTATCCAGGTCTTATGGTCCTTACCTATCCAGGTCTTATGGTCCTTACCTATCCAGGTCTTATGGTCCTTACCTATCCAGGTCTTATGGTCCTTACCTATCCAGGTCTTATGGTCCTTACCTATCCAGGTCTTATGGTCCTTACCTATCCAGGTCTTATGGTCCTTACCTATCCAGGTCTTATGGTCCTTACCTATCCAGGTCTTATGGTCCTTACCTATCCAGGTCTTATGGTCCTTACCTATCCAGGTCTTATGGTCCTTACCTATCCAGGTCTTATGGTCCTTACCTATCCAGGTCTTATGGTCCTTACCTATCCAGGTCTTATGGTCCTTACCTATCCAGGTCTTATGGTCCTTACCTATCCAGGTCTTATGGTCCTTACCTATCCAGGTCTTATGGTCCTTACCTATCCAGGTCTTATGGTCCTTACCTATCCAGGTCTTATGGTCCTTACCTATCCAGGTCTTATGGTCCTTACCTATCCAGGTCTTATGGTCCTTACCTATCCAGGTCTTATGGTCCTTACCTATCCAGGTCTTATGGTCCTTACCTATCCAGGTCTTATGGTCCTTACCTATCCAGGTCTTATGGTCCTTACCTATCCAGGTCTTATGGTCCTTACCTATCCAGGTCTTATGGTCCTTACCTATCCAGGTCTTATGGTCCTTACCTATCCAGGTCTTATGGTCCTTACCTATCCAGGTCTTATGGTCCTTACCTATCCAGGTCTTATGGTCCTTACCTATCCAGGTCTTATGGTCCTTACCTATCCAGGTCTTATGGTCCTTACCTATCCAGGTCTTATGGTCCTTACCTATCCAGGTCTTATGGTCCTTACCTATCCAGGTCTTATGGTCCTTACCTATCCAGGTCTTATGGTCCTTACCTATCCAGGTCTTATGGTCCTTACCTATCCAGGTCTTATGGTCCTTACCTATCCAGGTCTTATGGTCCTTACCTATCCAGGTCTTATGGTCCTTACCTATCCAGGTCTTATGGTCCTTACCTATCCAGGTCTTATGGTCCTTACCTATCCAGGTCTTATGGTCCTTACCTATCCAGGTCTTATGGTCCTTACCTATCCAGGTCTTATGGTCCTTACCTATCCAGGTCTTATGGTCCTTACCTATCCAGGTCTTATGGTCCTTACCACTCCCTGAATTGTAGGCTTTATAAAATGAGTTGACATGGCTGTTGCATATAGTATACAGTAAATAGTCAAGTGTGTTTCACACCACCCGGAAAAAGTTCATGGTTGGGTGGATGAAACGTGTTGGTGGGTTATAGATTCACTCTGCACATTTTCAGCATTACTGGAGGTTATGATGTGAAACTTTTACCAGGAGATGTTTGCGGCAGCAAATTCCACACATCTATCCAGGTCTTATGGCCCTTACGTAACCAGGTCTGATGGCCCTTACGTAACCAGGCCTGATGGTCCTTACCTATCCAGGTCTGATGGTCCTTACGTAACTAGGTCTGATGGTCCTTACGTAACTAGGTCTGATGGTCCTTACGTAACCAGGTCTGATGGTCCTTACGTAACCAGGTCTGATGGTCCTTACCTGTCCAGGTCTTATGGTCCTTACCTATCCAGGTCTTATGGTCCTTACCTATCCAGGTCTTATGGTCCTTACCTATCCAGGTCTTATGGTGCTTACCTATCCAGGTCTTATGGTCCTTACCTATCCAGGTCTTATGGTCCTTACCTATCCAGGTCTTATGGTGCTTACCTATCCAGGTCTTATGGTCCTTACCTAGCCAGGTCTTATGGTCCTTACCTATCCAGGTCTTATGGTCCTTCCCTATCCAGGTCTTATGGTCCTTACCTATCCAGGTCTTATGGCCCTTACCTATCCAGGTCTTATGGACCTTACCTATCCAGGTCTGATGGTCCTTACCTATCCGGGTTTTATGGACATTACCTATCCGGCTTTTATGGACATTACCTATCCGGCTTTTATGGACATTACCTATCCGGCTTTTATGGACATTACCTATCCGGCTTTTATGGACATTACCTATCTGGGTTTATGGAGATTAATGAAATGCAATCCGGCTTTTATGGACATTACCTATCCGGCTTTTATGGACATTACCTATCTGGGTTTATGGAGATTAATGAAATGCATTGATTTGTATCGGAGGGAACCGACCTGCACATCTTGCCCTCTAGGACTGGTAAAATACTTGCCTTCATTAATAAGTTGGTCTGCCTGATAGTTCACTGACTGACAAGTCAAGTTGCTGGTACCATCAAAAGCCTGTTGAATGCTTATTGTGGGCAAAGCCCTTTTTGCTGTCCAGGTTTAACCTGGAAGCCAAGGAGGCTGGCAAGCCCGTAATTTGATAGTACGTTTCTTAGTGATAGATTCTCCATGGAGACATCCTCTGCACTTCATTCATGCTGATTGAGTGCAGGCTGTACAGTATCAGCTGATTTCCTGGCCACACTAACTGAGATCTGACAGCACTAAACTAAGAAGTGCTCAGATCTGAACACTTCCAGGTTCATTGATCACAAGGGGGAGAAATGGACTCCCAACGTCATTCAACTCGGAAGGTTGAGGACATATTATGAATGTATGTATGTATGTATGTATGTATGTATGTATGTATGTATGATTGTCATGGCTTCACCCCTCGCCACCTAAATGCATATAATAAATAAACCGCACCGTGAGAATCTTTGTCCTCTGCATCGGCTCCATGTTGCAGTAACAGTCGGACCAGCTCAGCATTCCCCACGCAGGCAGCAAAGGAAAGAATGTGCTCTCCTGCCAAATAAAAATAAAGAAGATCTTTACCTCTGACACCAAAGGGGGGACTTCAGGGATCAATCTAAAAACAAATACAGGTACCAATAAGGTGCTTGTTTAAGTTCAATATGTTACCTTAGCAATGTTTAAGGTCACATCATACTCAATTTTAAGTGTATATAGTGGGCTATTGCCCGCTATATACTGAGAATGCCACAGCCGGGACTCCCTGACAGTCACCGCTCTCTGCAGGGAGATGATCGGGAAGTGAGCGAGCGGCGGTATATTTTCGCTCACTTCCCGATCAATAGAGCCGACATGTGACAGTTTCAATGTCACACGTTGGCTCTAACTGTGGGGATGAGTGTAATTCACTCACTCCATAGTTCTCATTTAAAAGGAGGAGTTTTGATTTGATAAAAAAAATACCCATTGATCCTGCCAGAAATCTTGTAAGCTTTTGTCTTCCTCTACTATCTGATGAGTTAACACTCTTGAAGATACAGTTCAAGAGAATGCTGGAGAGAATGAGCATACAAATGTAATCATTGATACCCCCGTAGTATCAATTGTTATACCCAGTGCTTAAAAAATCCACTCGTCCGTGAGGAAATCCGGCTTTTATGGACATTACCTATCCGGCTTTTATGGACATTACCTATCCGGCTTTTATGGACATTACCTATCCGGCTTTTATGGACATTACCTATCTGGGTTTATGGAGATTAATGAAATGCATTGATTTGTATCGGAGGGAACCGACCTGCACATCTTGCCCTCTAGGACTGGTAAAATACTTGCCTTCATTAATAAGTTGGTCTGCCTGATAGTTCACTGACTGACAAGTCAAGTTGCTGGTACCATCAAAAGCCTGTTGAATGCTTATTGTGGGCAAAGCCCTTTTTGCTGTCCAGGTTTAACCTGGAAGCCAAGGAGGCTGGCAAGCCCGTAATTTGATAGTACGTTTCTTAGTGATAGATTCTCCATGGAGACATCCTCTGCACTTCATTCATGCTGATTGAGTGCAGGCTGTACAGTATCAGCTGATTTCCTGGCCACACTAACTGAGATCTGACAGCACTAAACTAAGAAGTGCTCAGATCTGAACACTTCCAGGTTCATTGATCACAAGGGGGAGAAATGGACTCCCAACGTCATTCAACTCGGAAGGTTGAGGACATATTATGAATGTATGTATGTATGTATGTATGTATGTATGTATGTATGTATGATTGTCATGGCTTCACCCCTCGCCACCTAAATGCATATAATAAATAAACCGCACCGTGAGAATCTTTGTCCTCTGCATCGGCTCCATGTTGCAGTAACAGTCGGACCAGCTCAGCATTCCCCACGCAGGCAGCAAAGGAAAGAATGTGCTCTCCTGCCAAATAAAAATAAAGAAGATCTTTACCTCTGACACCAAAGGGGGGACTTCAGGGATCAATCTAAAAACAAATACAGGTACCAATAAGGTGCTTGTTTAAGTTCAATATGTTACCTTAGCAATGTTTAAGGTCACATCATACTCAATTTTAAGTGTATATAGTGGGCTATTGCCCGCTATATACTGAGAATGCCACAGCCGGGACTCCCTGACAGTCACCGCTCTCTGCAGGGAGATGATCGGGAAGTGAGCGAGCGGCGGTATATTTTCGCTCACTTCCCGATCAATAGAGCCGACATGTGACAGTTTCAATGTCACACGTTGGCTCTAACTGTGGGGATGAGTGTAATTCACTCACTCCATAGTTCTCATTTAAAAGGAGGAGTTTTGATTTGATAAAAAAAATACCCATTGATCCTGCCAGAAATCTTGTAAGCTTTTGTCTTCCTCTACTATCTGATGAGTTAACACTCTTGAAGATACAGTTCAAGAGAATGCTGGAGAGAATGAGCATACAAATGTAATCATTGATACCCCCGTAGTATCAATTGTTATACCCAGTGCTTAAAAAATCCACTCGTCCGTGAGGACCTGTCATGTAAATTGGTTATCAGATAGGGAGCAAGCTCCCTATGTGACAGCAATAAAGTGTAAAAAAAAAAATGTTTTAAAAAAAAATTAAAGCATACAAAAAAATAAAGAATAAAAAAAAAATGATTTGTGACAATTTTTTTTTAAACAATAAACACATTTTGTTTTTCAATTCCCCCCCCCCCCCCCAAAATACAAACACAAAAATGCGACGATTGCACCTATTGTGCCGCACACGTTACATATCACCACGAACGTTGGAGTGAGAGCAATAATTTTAGGGCCATCAATCACTGATAACACTAAACTGATGAGCAGTAAAAGTGTTTAAAGCGTCGCCTATGGCCAATTTTGGGTGTGGTTGTTTTTGCGATTTTGCAGGCACGCACAATTTTAAGGCTTGACATGTTTGGTGTCTATTTACCCGACGTGACCCTGTCTTTTATATTTTACCAAAAAATTGGGGTGATAATAAATGTTTCATAACATTTCATAGGGAAACATTTCAGGGTTTTAAAAAAAAAAAATTAGGGTACTTTTTTTGTTGTATAGTAACAAATAAAAACCACCAAATTAAATACCACCAAAAGAAAGCTCTATGTGTCCCCAAAAAAATTGTATAAAATTAATTTCAGTACAGCGTTGTATGACGGAATAAATGTCAGTCAAAGTACCTCAGCGCTGAATACTGAAAAATGGCCGGGACAGGAAGTGGGTCTAACACTCTGGTCATAAAGTGGTTAAAGGAGTTTTGTTTTGATTTAAAAAAAAATAACTCATCAGCACAGGCAGGATCAATGGGTAACACTCTTAAAGATACAGTTCAAGAGAATGCTGGAGAGAATGAGCACATAAAAGTAATCATTGATACCCCCGTAGTATCAATTGTTATACTTATATGCTCATTCCATCCAGCAGTCTCTTGAATTGTAACATTGTATCTTCACAAGTCACCAAGAGTTAATTATTTGCTGTATGGCGTAAAGTCAGAATCAGCAAAAGTGTTTGTATACCTCCACTACCTGTTTCTGCGCCCATGCCAGCTGGTTAACTTGTCCCAAAAGATTGTACCTGCAGTTTCGCTGGACAAATAGGCTATGCCCTTTTTTTATAACTAGAACCATCAACATTAGGGATTTCCAGATACCAGTTCAGATACCAGTGCCGATTACTTGACATTTTTACGAGAACCACTCGGGTTGCAGCGGTTGCAGCTGGGACCCGGCTCTGGCGCTCTACCACTGTCCTGAAATCATTAGTCCATTGTTTCAGAAAAACTGTCACATGACAATAAACAAAAATGTATCAGTACTCGTACTTGGAAAAATGGTATCGGTGCAACACATATATGTATAAAAACTAAATAATGCATTAAAATGGGGATGTATAAATCCCGGGAGCTCCGTGTGCTCCTTACAAATGACAGCTGCCTCCTAACTTTTGAATTTTTCTCTAGTCTAGTCTTGGAGCTGGAAAAGTATCTGTACTTGTACCGAGTACAGTACTTGGTATCTGGACATCCCTAATCAACATTACCAAACATTTTTGCAAAGTTTTCTTTTAGAGGGATCTGCTCAGAAGCAGAATCCACCTGACCAAAGTAGTTGGATCAGACGACTACTTGCGTTTGACTGTCATTTGTTTTCATTGCACTGAAACTCATCTGATAGAGGGAAATGAGATGTGTTACTATGGCAGATAACACCGCATTGAAATCAGCCCACATACTGTATTTCAGAGTTTTGTTTTTTGATGGTGGCGAGATAAATTCCCCAAATACCTAATAGATAGATCCTAGATGTTGCACGTCTTATGTCATATGAACATAATTTATGTAGCACAGTTCCTTGAGAAAACATCTGTCACGCTTGAATAAGAGTAAGGAGGCAAAAACCAGAACTGAATCCTAAACAGTCTGTTGTTCAACCAAAAGAGTTTTTTTTTTTTTTTCCATTAGAAAATATATTGACTCATCACCTCATCAAAAAGGAAAAAAAGGGCAGAGTTCCTTTGTTCAGGGCGGGATTTTTAAAAAGGATTGACATATACTGTACACAAAGTATTCACCTCGGCTTTGCGGAAGTCTCTCTTATGGTGGTGATAGCTATTCAACTCGGCTTTGTGGACGTCCCTCTTATCCGTTATGAGGTGAAGCGATTCCAATGATACCAGGAGCTACAATTTGGACACTCACTGACACTCTGATCCTATGTGATAGTTCCCTCAATGTCTCCAAAAAGTAACGGCATCAAGAGTACCAGCTATAGTATACGTATCCTCACCGCCATTGGTACAGCCGTACCTACAGCTTGGAATTTGCCTCCAATTACCCTTGCTGAACTCAAGCTTTGTACTTACATGGTCTTTTGATACTTATCTGGTTCATTGATATATAACATTTCTATGGATACACCATGTGTATTGGAGTTTGGTATTTCGAATACATTTATACCATGAGTTTATCAGTCAGTGTATGTGTGTCCCACACAGATTGGTGAGCACAGAGGATCTGCCTAATCTGCTCCATACGGATATCAAAAAATCTGCAAACATTTTTCTGCTACCGTGCAGTTCATATATGAATGATTTTGGAGGGTTCAACCATAGAATTTCTTTCATCAGTAATAGCCGAGTGGGAATCATGTGCAATATATATGTGTGCCTTATATTTTAATATTGATTTTTTGTATGTGTTTAATAAATGATATGTTTTATATATAACTATATAGTTGCAGGATTGCATTTGTGGTGGGATCTCCCTCAATGGGGAAATGTGCCAATTATATTAAAGGAGAACTATGGGGTCAGGGCTTTTCCCCATAGTTCTCCTTAGGGTAACGGGAGGACACAAACTAGCGTCCTCCCGTCACCCTAAGCTCAGTATACTGAGACGCCGCAGCTGGAGCAGATCCCGACATCGATGTCGAGATCCGTCCAGCTGTGTGAGTGACAGCTGGCTCTGCCCATCTAGAGGCAGAGCCAGCTGTAGCCGCCTCCTCCCCCTTCCGTTCCGCAAGTCAGCGCTGGTGGATCGGAGCGGGGAGGGGGGAATCCAGCCCCTCCCCTGTCAGGGCAGAGAGCCGTGACAGGATCGAGAAGTGAGCGAAAACCGGTATGTGTTCGCTCACCTCCCGATCTACTGAGCCGACCTGTGACAGTCTCATTGTCACAGGTCGGCTAGAACTATGAGGCGAGTGAAAAGCACTCACCTCATAGTTCTCCTTTAAGTATAGTGGACTGAAAAATTATCCTAATAGTGACATTTTAAAAGTCCCAATATATTGCAGTGGGTCATAAAAATATTTCAAATATTTTTACTTAGTTATGGTAGTACATGTATGAGTTTGTTCCATTGTAGCACGTAGACCGGTGACTGTGTATGCCGGTGGCGGGGTGTGATGTCTTTTTACGACGCAAAGCACTGTTTATTTTTTCTATTTTTTAACTTTATTGAACCGGCACAAAGTGACATTTGAAATGGAAAGATGGACAGATACTTAAGGTGAGCTCTGGTGTGCTGCGGAAAAATGCAGACATGCAGAAATCTCACGAATAGAGTCCCCCAAATATGGTAGACACTGTCAGGTCATTCAGCTCTCCAGCATCTACTAAAACTATAAGGCTAGGTTCACACCTAGGCGAAACCTCACAGCAATCATGCACGATTCCGCGCAGATTGCTGCATGGTCAGGAGTCGCCAAGGTGTGAACCGATCGCGCTGTGGGTGCCATTATTTTCTAATGGCACCTCAGTCGCACCGGTTTCCAGCCGCGATTCCGCCTGTGCTTCCAATTTTGCTTTGGTCCCATGATAGCAGTTGAATGATGGGATCAGAAGTGAGACAGAGCAACTATTGGTCAGTTCAATCTGCCTGAAGCTCAGTCCTCTTCTGTGTTGATCAGGTCTGAATCAATAGGTATCATTTCTGTTACTATGGAGCCATAATACACTGATGCCGATGCGGCCCACCAGTGCTCATTACGTGTCGCCTGTGTTCCAGACCTCAGGGCTAGAGCAGCCTTTCTCAAACAGGGTACTGTGGCACACTGGTGTGCCTCCTGGCCTCCTCAGGGGTGCCACAAAATTTCGTGGTAGAAGGGGGGAATGAAGACTGATGTGAAGGGGGTTCCTGATTTAAACAGTAAACTCTGATGTGAAATGGGGGGGGGGCTATGATATGAAAGGGGGGGGGGGCTACTGATGTGAAGGGTGGGGGGAATCTTGATTTGAAGAGGGCACTTCAATGTAAAGGGGGAAGACCACTTTTTTTTGTGTTGCTTTGCGTGGGGCCTTCCTTAAAAATCTATGACATTTTAAACTGGGGTGCCTTGAGATTTTGCATATTTCTAAAGAGTGCCATGACTATAAAAATCTTGCGAACCGCTGGTCTAGAGCAAAGCTGGCACCACACTGTGGCCAAGTGGTTATGGCAGATGTGGTTTAGCACTAAGCTCAGGAGCTGAACCTTTTAGCTTCCAGGCCTTTTTTCTTCTGTAAGAGACCTCTCCATAAAGGATAAAAAAAATGATAGATACATTGAAAATGTCCTTCTCCCCATTAATCCCATTGTCTCAACAAACGTGGTGCTGCTTGACAGTCAAACACTCACGCGAGTGAGCGCAATTACATTTAGAACCGCCATGACCGCAAACCTTTAACAATGTCAGGGGCAGAACTTGAGGCCCCTTATATTTACAGTTTTGACCTCCATAGCTATAATATCTTCTATGTGCTCTCCCCGTGGCCCATGATGATGCAATGGATAGGACAGGCACAGACTCAATATGGCTACCAATGGTCTTAATGCAGAACAGGTTCAGATAAAAAGAACAATTACTCTGTGTGCCTGGTTTAGGAAATCTCCTTGTATGTTATCAGTTCTCCCAGCTTCATTAAATAATATTTTATTGCATTATTATTTTTTTTAAGTTTATTAATAAATGATATATAGAGATTATTAGAATAGACACTATAAAAATCACTTTAGGGCAGGCCTACAGAACACCCCCCTCTCCTCACTTCTATAACAAAGGGTATTCTGTAGTGCACACAGAGAACTGTGTGGCAGGGCTAATAAGGATGTTTGAGATTTCAACTCACTACAACAAGTTCAAAGCTGACTAGACTCCTGGCAGGATCAACAGGTATTTTTGCACCATAAAATAGATATAACAACACATTGAATGGTATATTTATTAGGCCCCATTCACACTGAGCGATTTATCGAGCGATTTTTGCAGCGATATCGCTCATATTTCCACGCGATATCGCTCTATGTAGCTCCTCCAATCCATTTCAATGGAGCTGTTCACATCAATATCGCTTGTAGCTAGTCGCTGTAGCTTGTCGCTTCTACATGACCCTTTTTACGAGCGATTTTGCTCCTGATTGCATACAGCCCAATAGGAAAAAGTCGCTCAATATCGCTCATATAAAATCGCGTGATTTTCATGTCGCTCAGTGTGAATGGGGCCTTAGGCCAAAGGGAAGCAAATGAGGAAGTGTTTACATACGTTTAACTGACTGAAATATCAGTAGAGAACTGGAAAGCACACACTGACTCACCGTAATAGAAGGAGTTGGGCTTGAGCTGGAAGTACGTTCCCACTGCCCGTGCCATGGCCACGTTGGCACCATTCCGTATCAGCTCTTGTGCAACTGCCAGATTCTGACGCATGACAGCTATGTGCAGCGCTGTCTGACCTGCCAAGACACAAGGAGGAAGCCATGAACATTAAAGTGCTGATATCATAATCTTTCAGGTCCGCTTATTCTGTTTGGGACCCTTTCCTAATGTTCATAGTTCCAACATGTTAGCTTTATATCCTCAGTTCTCAAAAATCTTTTTTAGGGTCAGCCCAAAACAGATATTTTCAGTTTTTGAAGATACTTGAGATTTAAACCACCAGAATTCTTGATATCTCTTATGGACTGTGGCAGCGAGAGCTCTGCTCATGAGTTACCATGCCCAATTGAGGTGGCCATTATAGGGAAGTCCCATAATGTCGGTTGGATTTCTAAACTGTTTTATACAATGAATGATGCAATAGGAGGATATCAGGGACGTGCGGTCAGAAGAGGCAGGTGAGGCAGAGCCTCACCTATTATTACGGAGGAAAAAGCTGTCAGCTTCAAGTCTGAAGATGACAGCTTTTTCTCCATTCAGATCGGCATCTAACAGGTTACACAGAAGGGAAATCCTCCCCGCTGTGTAACCTGTCATGGACGGAGCGCTGTGTGTTAATTACAGGCAGCGCTGCATCCGGCTTTTGACAGGTAGTTAGGTTACACAGCAGCGGGCTTCCACACTGCTTGTGTAACCTAACTATTGAGGAAAGAGCTCTCACAGCCTCTACTCTTTGTTAGAGGCGTGAGCTCTGTGGATGGCTTGGACCAATGGCAAAGCGCCATTGGTCCAAGCTGTCCAACCAAAAAAAGAAGAAAAAAAAATCACTGAGGACATCGATCTCAATGCCTCAGCAGTGACGAGCAAGTGAGGGATAGGGAGGCAAATTGAAGCACCAGCACACCCGAGGTCCACTTTATAGCTCCGTCTTTTCCTTAACATCAGATAAACATTGTATCACATACAGATGCAACATTTCGGAACATCATGCGGTCCCTTCATAAGGCAAAAAGTATAAAAAGCACAC